CAGTTGGAAGAGTTCCGCTCTTGCAATTGGGTCGTTGCGATTACCAGTAGGATGTCTAATTGTCCAGGTGGTAATGATTGTACCTGAACCGGTGGCTTCACTTTTTCTAAGTAATGAAGAAGAGGACTGAAACGTTACCAAGTGACAAACACATAGTGTTCTCAGGCAAGTGCCAGAGCAACTACAAGAACATTTAACTACAAACAGAAATACTGACCTGGAGAGTAAAGGCCTCCAAAGGAATTGGATCTATTGTTGTCACCAGATATACATCATTGTATTCATTGTTGATGAACTTGCCATCATTGATAGTGCTGCAATTTATTGTGACATTCAGCATACTCCAAAGACTGACATAAACTCATGCTTTGAAGCACAATAGCTTGTGAAAATGTTATTGAAGTGATGATTAGACATATTCCAGAATATCTGTATTGTTTTCCTTTCTTCCTGGTAGGTTATTATATAACTATCACGAAAGTATATGATTACAACCAAAAAAAAAAACAAGAACTATCAAGAAAGTGCTCCAATTGTTAAAAGTCCACTAAATTGTGTATAGCGTAAAAACCCTCAAAAATTTGGACAAAATGGACAGACATTTGAACAACATTTGGGAGAAATACTTCAAATATTAGTAATAACTAATAACCACATGTCTGATGTCACAGATATGCTTGAGTTATATCTGCAAAGTAGAACTATATGATACTATACCACAGTCTAGTACCCTCCAGGGTGGCCCAGTGGTTTGGGCTTGGGACTTCCATGTTGGAGGTCTCAAGTTTGAAACCCCTTGCCAGCGAAAGCAAGGGGTTTGCCTTCTCGGTCGAGCTTGTCGCACCGGTCTTGCCTAGTGCAGGTTACCTCTCCTATGTGGTTTTGAGAGCTATTGCACAGGAGCGCGGGTTTTACCTTGTGCGCACCCAAAGCGGCTGCGGGTTTCCCTTATCATCAAAAAGAAAAAAGAAACTATACTATAGTCTAGCGCATGGGATCAAATAAAACAATCAGAACCAATAACTCATAAGAGAATGATGGACCCCAAATTTAATGACTGAGGCTTGGTAATTCTAGGCTTCAAACACACATCCAATAGTACCGCATACTCTAATCTTTTGGGAGCTAATTAGTAGTGGACTTTTTCAAAAGAAACTAATGAGATTAACGTTTCCAATACTGTAGCTATCAATAGTTTCTTTTCTTTGTTGTTCCACTTCTCTATGCCATCAAGCTCCCTGACAGCTCAAAGGTGCATATAAAATAACAAACATCTACTTCGAAACTTATAATTTGGTAATTCAGCTGCATTATTCAATTGCAAAGAAAATATTGGCATATATAATGAGATCTTATTTCTAAATTGACTGATAAAGGAATAGCCATTTGTCCAGATGATTCAACAAGGAGGGGAAGCATGAATTCACAGCTCTGAGTCAACAGACAATTGCTACTGCTTAATACTGTATAATAAGAAGACATGAAGAAGTAGAGCTTTAGTATACCAACCACTCTTGAAGAAAAACAAATATTAATTCAAATGCATCTTTTGGAAGAGTTACACCAAGTTCTTCTTGAAGCTCTCGCCTGCAACAATGTATAAGTCAACAACAGTAAAAGCCCCATCAGAAAAGCATTTAGAAGTGTGATGTATGCATTCACACGGGAGAGAACATGTAGCATTGCAAAGGAGTGTAAACTTTCACATACAGACAATCTCGTTACATAAGAAATGTGTATTACACAAAATAAACATATTTAAATATTCTACATAATTACAGAGTATTAGAAGTTGCAGTTAGTGTTTTTACTTGGGCAGTTGAAACCAAATGAAATAGATGATACTTGAATGATCATATGCGCTCCAAAATTGTAACAACTGATCATTACTTAAGAAAACAAATAAGCAAGTTGTAGGAGATGAACATTTGTGAAGTGTAAAAATTCATCAGCAAAGCTATTTTTGAAACTGTTTTTTTATAAAAACAAAACTATTCATCAGCAAAGCTATTCCACTTTACGCAGCACATAAAGTGTTTACATAAATTTGCATGACAAAATACTAGAGGTGTTATTGGTGTGTGATCCATTTCATTATGAATCGTGTCAGATACTGCATTTTTCTTTTTTGAAAATTTAGAGTGTGTGTGTTTTATGATTGTAAAAGTAGTACAAGATAGAGAGAAAACAGTTGTCATTTCAATCTCATAGCGTTAAATTTAGAGAGAGCGCATTTCATGATGGTAAAAGTAGTACAAGATAGAGAGCAAACAGATGTCATTTCAATCATCATTGTGTTAAATGCTAATAAACCAATCCGCATTCCATATATATTTTTTCTGATTTTTTATGACTTTATCTCAGTAATAATCCCTAAAGAAAAGAAGCTAGAACACAGCCTTACTGAAAATGAAGCAAATTGCTGATTGTGTCAGACACATAGAAGGTTGGTTCACAATAGTGGCTTCTTTTTTTTATTTGAGAAAGAGAAGGAAGAAAAAGGAAATCCATTGGTAGATGAAAAAGACGGCAACATATAGAGACAGAAGAATATGGAACTCTGAAATTTCGAGTAGCCCCGCGACACAATTTTATTTTTTTTTTGACAAGGTAAATAACTTTATTAACAGTTATGGAAACACTGGATATAAGTCACATAACAACTACCAGACAATCTATGATCATGGGATAAAAGTTACCAAATAATGATAACATACAGAAAACGTTATACTAAGAATTTGCATAAGGCCATATAAAAGCAAAATCAGAAAAATAAGTCCAGTTCATTTGAAATTATATCTAGAAAGCTCAGCTACATGCTGGAAACCTACATTGCAGAAATAAGAGATGAATCTCCAGCAGATATATGACCTGCACTCGAGATATCCCATTGACCAGCCCAGGAATCCTTGCAATCAGCACGTCGTTGTAGAAGTAGTTCTTGTGTACTTTCAGCAAATATCCACACATGAACAGCTCGATGGTAGTCTCCATCTCTGTGAACATCCCCTCTGAACAAGTAGCACAATTATAGACATCATTATCCCCATAAGTTCATTGTTAATAAAGCTTGGGGAACAGAATTACAAACCATAGTTTTTTATGACACGTGATATATTTGGGCAACTATGAGCTTAGATTTGTTAAATTCTGCCAGTCAATTTAATAAATTTACTATCTTGCCCAGATCCAATTCACTTTTCTACTGATCATTTATTTTGGAAGAATCATTCTTAGTAAAATAAGAAAGGAGATTCATTAAACAGTCTATGAGGTTCGCATTTCATGCAAAATAAAATCCGTAGTATCATCCCCTTTACATGAAAAGCATGCAATAAGCTACTTTTCTATCCTATATACACCAAAATTTGATCCCTACAACCCAAATAAAAAAAAAACATACACAATTCAAATACTCCATTACTTATGCCAACATCTTACTCGGCTAAATCTTTGCATTCCATTAATCTGACAAACCAATAGATACTACCAAAAGATATTGCTCTTCCCAATCAAGTGGGGTAAGAAAGAACAAGAAAAGAAAAAAGATCAAAAGTCACAACCTTCAACTGGACTACTTTGCCCAAGACAAGAGGGGGTTGCTTGAATTATTAGCACCCTTCACCTCCAACCCTAAAGTTGTCACCTAAGGAGGGTTCGGAAAAAAAAAGTCTACTTTGCCCAAAAATATTACAATACATTCAAGCATAAATGATCGGACATTCCCCAACCCCACACATAGCAGGAGCTTTCGTGCACTGGGCAATAACTATGAAAAACAGGTGTCTGTAAAGTTGCTCTAATTGCTAAATCAAAGCATAAAAGATGAGAATAGCAATAAGTAAGTTAATGGACGAGTAAAACTAGTCAATTTACACTGAATCGCACAATTATATAGCCCAACTAGTTTGGATTCAATCATAATTATTGTAATCAAAATTACACCAATAATATCAATATTCATCATAACCCATATGAAATTTTCTTTGTTTTTGATGTGGGGTTTTTCACCTGGGTTTAGAGTAGCCGGTTTTTTCTCCAGTTTTTGTAAGGACGTCAAAATGCTCTTCTTCCTTCACTGTCGTTTGATCAAATTCGGCAGCCATTGATACTATTTTTTAACTTCCAAAATAAACCTACAATTTTGTTTCTTGAAGAAATGCTTGTAAATGGGGGTTTGTTCGATAGAGAAGTGAAGATATTACTACAGAAAATTAAATGAAAGTGTCAAATAAGTAATAAGTCGCTAATTACTACTCAATCCGACTTTTGAATTTTGTGGTCCTAAATTAAAGTTAGATCAAATATACAAAATTATTTTTGGATCTTATAATTTTAAACATGTCAGTATGAAATTAAAATATTATCAAAACAGATTAAAACAAAAAGGAGTTTATTCTTTTTAAAACAGAGGAAATAAAATTTTATATTTGTCCAATATTACTAATCCATTAATAAAAATAATTTTCTGATTTATTTATGATTTAAATAAAAAATAACTTTTTTCTCATTTTAACTCTAAATATATTTTGTAAAATTAAAAAGATTTTCAAAGAATAAATTAATATATTTTATTTATAATTTTTTAAAATTTTAAAAAAGTGAACAAATAAATATAAAACAGAACGAGTAAATTTCTTGCCTATCATGTTCTATATGTTTCTGAAATGGAAATCACCTTTGTAAGCAAGCATTTTACTCGCAAATTCAAATTTAATTACCAATATAGCATTTAAAATGATAAATATGCATATAGCCAAAAGGTTTAAATCTTTTAAATCTTAAATGTTGTATATCTGTATTCTCATTATTTATCCGGAACCTCCATAAGAAGTCCTTGTGTAGCATAAAGGTTTTGATGGGATGGTTGGGTTTCCTCAAACCTTGAACAAAGGTCTCGAATTTCAGCCTTCGAATATAGAATATTTTGGTAACGAGCAATCTGTATCAAATATTTAAGCTGATAAAAGAAAAAGAAAACACTAGTAAATAGACTAACATTTTATCAGCAAAATGAAGAGAATTAGAGAACTAACTGCAATAAGAATTTTACATTTCAACTGGTACAATTTGTGTTTCAAAAGTATCTAATCCTGCATACCTAGCTTAACTTCAAATAAGGAGGGAACTTAGGGGTGGAGGAACACTAAGGGTAGCAGTTCTGTTGCTTTTTGTTCATCTTCAAACTACTTCATTTAAAGAGCATCTGGATCGACCCCGTTTGAGAATTCAAACAATGGTGAAGGCAAATAGTAGAGCTACTAGAAACAGAAAGAAGCTAGCAAGCTAGGTAAAGAACAATGTCCAGTATCCAGAAGGTGCGTAATGTTTACAGAAGTTCCCACTTGACTAGAACTTAAGCAGCCTTACGAAAATGCTGGGATAATAGCCTCGCAATCTCAAGAAAACCAACCTTGTCCTTGCCATCAAATATAGTTTTCAACTTGTCGTCACAATGTATCTCTCTCTTGTTTGTGGGATTCTGCAAGCCGCAAAGTTACAATCACCATGTCAGTGTAACCATGGAAGAAAAGTACCATTGAAGAAAAAATGAAGGGAAAATCACAATCAGTTAGCAGTGATCAAATTGATAAATTCAATTTCTTCTCGCATACATCAGATATCTCTTGGATTGAGTTGAGTCCATAGATAAGAAAGGTCAAATGCCATTTTTTATGACAGTGATATTTGGGCCAACTTGCACACAATTTGATTACTCCACCAGGTACCTACTACCTCCCACCAACATGGGTACTGGGTAACCCTATAAACCAAGGTTTAGACATTAGACAGATGCCAAGAAATCACCCAACACTTTGGTCTCTGCTAAGATTTGAATCTTGATTTGCCATGTTTTTCACCTACTTTATCGACCAATAGGTCATAGCCTTGGATGCAAATGCCAAAGGTCACTTTATGTACTTAATCCTCTTCAGGGGGAGAGGGCAGTTTTTAACAATGGGAGTCATCTAAACATACTTACTGAAGCAAGTGCCAGGAAAAAAGAAAAATCCCTCTTCAGGGTCTAAGTACAATTTTCTGCACAAACAGGCTATCGCAGCAGGCCCCTGAAGGTAGGGATTGCAAATACAAAGAGCCCGTACGTATGGCTATGACCTATGTACAGATCCCAAATTCATTAATGGTGAAGAAACTATTTCCAGACAATCCATGGTGATCCCAATAACTTATTTCCTCTCAGACAAGAAACTACAAAACAATCTTTAGAAGCTTAAATGGACCTGTAGATAATCATGGCTGCACTCATTATGATTCCACTCAATGCATCTTAGGAAGAATAGGAATTCTAGTCTGTAACTCATACCCATCTATGGACAATGCACTCCTTGATCTTCAGGACTTCCCTCGCAAGAGGGTCGAAAGGAATTTTATAGCTTTATGACTTTCTAGGTCGTACAAAGTGTCAAAATAGTTTGAAAACTTGGTGATAAGTAATGACTAAAAGTAGGATACCATAGTATTAGTATCATTCGGGCTAGGTCATGAGCATTCTAGCTCTTCATCATATAACGCTATAGAAGTATGCTTATAAATAGAAAACAATCATAAAAGGGCATAAGACCAGCTCATATCATGTGTAGAAAACCTAAACCATTCGCCTAAAATGATAACCTTAAATCCCTAACTCTCATCAACCACCCACTCACTCGCACTATTGCACTCCAGCTTATGAAGTAACAACTTCCCTTCTTCTTCTTCTTTTAAAAGGTCAACCACTTAATTCGATTCTTAAAGACCTCCAAACCATTCAAAGAAACAAAAGGAGGAAATAAAGATAATCATCTCAAGAAGCAGGAACTATCTCAACTTTGCTTCCACAAAATCAAAAGACCCTATCACATTTTTCATTTATATTTTGAATATGGTAATGTAACAATAATTTATTGATAAAAAAAAAACACCATCACATGTTGATTTACTAGCCAAAATCAATGTCATGCCTACTGGACAACTAAACCAGCATTCTACCGGACAACTAAACCCAATTTAAAATGTTTCTGTCAAAAAAATTGAACTATAATGTCTTTACAGAAGACCATAAAATTCTCCAAGTAATTAACAGAACCACCAAAAGGATACAATAGAGTTAACTTTTGGAGTTGAGTTAAGGTTTTGAAACGATAGAGTTAAACAATCATCATGAAGTTAACAAAGTAAAAATGAAAATGAATAGTGCATCAAAGCTCACCACATTCACTAACGAACTCCAAAACAAAATGAAAAAATTTCAGACCTGAAGATTCTGGGTTTTAATGTATTCCCAAACTTTCTTGACCGCATCAGCGCGGGAGGATTCTTTAGTACCTAAGAAGCTTCCTAGTGCAGTCGAAACTGGTTGAGGCTTCAGTATTCCAGTAGGGCGACCTCTGGCTTTGGTCACAGTGGCTGTTGCTGCCGCTGTGGTTTCAGTTGCTGCGGAAGTTTTAGCAGCAGCCATTAAAGCTCGACAGCAGTTACCGAAAATCCGAGTCGATGACGCCATTGATTACTTTGAAGTTTTCGTAAAACCCTACGGCTGATCAAAGAGGAAAATAGGGTTTTGGAAAGAAGGTCAAAGTCGTAATTCGTTTGGGAGAGTCGAATGATATTTTGAATCATACCTCTTCTTTTTAATACTCTCTCCGTCGTGTTTCCTTTTTTGGAGTCAAACAATCAAAATTTTGACTAATATTTTACGAAGTAATTTTTTATTATATTGATATATAAGAAAATTATATTTTACGATATTTTTTTAATAGTTTTTAAATATTTATTTTTTAAAAAATATTGAATTAATATAATCTAATTTAACTTTGAATATTAGTTAAATTGACTTTCGAAAAGTGTAACATGAGAATTAAAAAGTGGACGGATAGTAATTAATATAAATTTTACTTAATTAAATGATTATGGATGGATTCAAAAGAAGTAGAAGTGGACCTTAGATAGGTTATGACACAATTACAACTTATCAAAGATATGACCTTATATTGGAAAGTATGGAAGACTTAAATCAGGATAGAAGGTTAGTAGGTAGGAGTGTGTCCATCGAGTAAGTGTGAGTGCTTTGTCGTGTCGCTTGTAGTTTCTTGTTCATCGATTCTTGTGACTAGGGTGAGATAGAAATTGGGTTGGGTCCTAAGCAGCCCCATGTATACTTTTGGCTCAATTGGATTGAATTGAAATGAGCTTAAAACATATTGAGTCTTGAGCTGCCCAATTTGACCTGCTTACTCCCAATTACTTCTTGTAGTTTGTTTGTAGTAATATTTTGTGGTAGTATTATTATGTTCGTATTTGTTATTTTATTATTATCTATAGTAAATTGTACATTCATTATGTCTTTTCTAGAGTGTTTTTGCTTTAAACGAGTCTATTTAAAACAACCTCCGAGGTAGAAGTAAAATCCACATACACTTTATTCTATCCAAACCCAACTGAGTGAGACTACATTAAATATGTTGTTTTCGTTGTTAAACTTAATGAAATGATTTATACTCGTACATATATCTAAACTTTATTTTAGATTGGGAGTAGTATTTTAAGCGTAATACAATGATAACACCTAAAACTTGTAGGCATTCACATTGATTTAATTTCCACAAATCCAAGTGGAATCTACACATTTAGACTGTTAATTGGCACAACTAGCCCGATGCCCTTTCATATTTTTTATACCACATAGCCAACTCAAACTTAACTTACGTAGCACCTGAATCTTTCTTTTTAATGACCGTTGTGTTCGACTAATTCCAGAAGATACATGTTACCTTCCACCAGCAACATGACACAAACAGGACAGATGAGAAGAATCACCAGTGTTTTTTGTCTCCACTGAATTTTAAACCTGAAAATTCAAGATACCCAACCACTTCATTAACTACTACGCCACAACGGCACAACCTCTAAACTTCTGAAATTTCTGCACTCCAAAGTATAAACTGGAGGTTCCACATCTAAAATTAAGGCAATTGTCATATGTGGATCTGTTTCAAGTTTGAACACTTCAGGAGCACTTGTTTGCTTCAAAATGTTCTCCTTCATAGCTTCCCTGATCAGCTTAATATATCAACGACGCAGAAATGATATTCTGTGGAACGTTGAACTCCAAACTCGTCAAGCATATATGATTGTAATACCAGAAGCCTTGGTCAACCAGCCCTGGGTGGCTGCAAGCTGTTAATAAGTTGATAAACGTGACTTTTAATGGAGTGAGTCCCGAATCAATCATCTCATGAAAGATGTCAATTGCTTCTAAGCATTGCTGTGGAAACCATATGCAGAAATCATTGAATTCCAAGCTGCAATAGATCTCTCAGCTAAACTTCGGAATACCTGACGAACAATGTCAAACCTGCCCACTTTTCGTCTGTCTTTGAGAAATAGTCACTCTCAGGCAGTTGCCAATCCAGAACCCCAAAACAATTTGAAATTCAGACATTGACTATTTTTCAATTAAAGAAGCTAAAAAGGTAGCTACCGCATTGGAAATAGCAATAACTACATGAGGGGCCAACACTTCAAATGTTGCCAATGATGTAAACTTGATTGCAACAGTTACACTACACTCAGGTTTCCAACATTTAAGCCTAAGCAATATATCAACAACTTATAAACTTTAATAAGGGGAGAGGAGAAGACAGGAAGCTAACATGGCATGCATGAATAAGATATTTTTCTAACTGTTTTTCCAGTGATTCATGAACTGGTTCCTACTGCAGTTGATCTACTGCTTTCAGATTGCATGAGGCATGGAATATCTCCACTCGAAAATGATCAAGGAACAAAGTGTATCAAGTTTTCTGAGTAGTGGTGCTCAGTTCGCGGATGATATACTTTGAGTCTTTAACAGGAGTTACTTTTGAAGATAGCTAAGAAAAGATGTGGCGAAACATGAGGACAGAACCCACCAAAGTATGTGACAAGCTTGACAGAGTCGTCTTGACACAATGATCCAATCAACAAACAAGTTCCCCATTCATCTGCAGGACTTTCCGCTATGTAAAGAAGTTATTAGTGATAAACTCTAATCACAACCAAATGGATTCACCATAACCGCAAGTTTGAGTACAGTGACATCAAGGTTGGGATATTAAGGACCTTTCCCTCCTGGGAAATTCTGTTCTGATCTTTCATCGGTCATACACACTTCTCCAATTGTTCGCTCACAAGGTGACTAAGAACGAAGAGAGTAAAATAAGTCACGGAAACAAATTCTGAATCAGCACCTGGCATGTGATGCAGCTTTAGCCTGTGGAACGGCAGATAACACACTAAGATTACCAACTGAAAAGAAGTGGATTATGTCTACTGATACTTTGGAGCAAGAGACGATCTGCACATGTCATCAGGCTGAGGTCCTCTTTTATATAAATATATAGATGGAAACTTCCTCATCAGATGCTATGGACAGGCAAACGCAACAAAATACATATATATTCCAGCGTGGATGCATACAAGCACAAAGGGCTATAAGAGGGAAAAGGATCACATACCTTTAATTCCGCAAATGCAGAGCAAGAATCAACACAAAATCCAAGTTATCCTCCACATTTAGGAAAATGAACTGTACAGGACATATAATATAGCAGCATGGAGAAAGAAACTTATATTAAGCAAATGAAATGTAATCATCTTTGCCTAGGTAAAAATAACAAGGGAGTAATATCAAGGCATATAAGATCCTCAGAACTTACAAAAACAATAGCTTACAAGGTGTTTTTCTAATGATCGTTCGAGTAACCATTAGTTCAAAACAATCAGAAGTTACACAATTTCTATCAAACCAAAATGCGGAAAAAACCTCCATCATTCCTAAACAAGTTTCGGACTTGATTTGCTCATAATTATTGTCTCCCCATAAACTTCATCAAGAAAACATAACATTGACAATTAAGTATCCATCAAAATACCCAAAAAAAGAACTACTTTCTCCTCTTAAGCGGCCCAGTTTTATACCCACCCTTAGTAGGTTTTCCCCAAGGTGTCAACGAACCTCTCCCATGACTTCCACTACTCTTACTCCTCCCTTCACCACCACCATGTGGATGATCCACCGGATTCATCGCCACACCACGAACAGTGGGTCTCCGTCCAAGCCACCTAGATTGTCCAGCCTTCCTCAACTTCTTCGTCCCATGTTCCGGGTTCGAAACTTGCCCAATCGTCGCCCTACATTTAACATCAATCAATTTCTTCACACCGGATGGTAACTTCACTTCACAGTACTTCGTAGAAGCATTAGGTTCCGTAAGGATCTTAGCACACGTCCCAGCTGAACGAACCAATTTCCCACCTTGCCCAGGTCGCAACTCAATATTATGAATTAGGGTTCCGATTCGCATCATACCTAATGGCATACAACTTCCGATTTGAGAACTGATGTCTAATGAGAACTGCTCCATCATTGATTCAAGCTCCTTCGATGGTTTCATTTTCGATATCATTGCTTCAAATGGACCTGTTACATTGTTAAAAAAAATCAAAAAAAATTGTGTTAAATTGTAGAGATTGAAATGAACATATAGAAATCGAGATTACTTGTAGAGAAAGAGCGATTGATGACATTGCGAAGAAGGAAAGATGAAGCCATTCGAGCTCTGCAAAGAGCCATTTTTTGTTCTTTTTTTTTCTGCAATTCGTTTGTGTGTTCTTGCAGGGGTAGGGTTTAACAATAGTGAGCTTTTCTTAGGAGCTACGAAAAATATATTTCTGGGATAAAGTATAACTTTTTAAAATTTAACATTATTCCAATTCTTTTATTCTATTTATGATTTCAACTAATTTTTTCAATCATTTGATTAGAAAATGCATGATTTTTACGTAAAAAGAATATTTGTTAAAATAAAAAATATATCTACAAACTATCATAAATAATATTTAAACATAATTTTCAAGTTGATGTTAGTATTTAAATCAAAAGTATAAGCATTTCACATATTCTAAATATAATTTGTAAGTTGTATTCGAATTTTTCATTTTATTTTCAAATAAAGTGATAAAAAAGTTCCCCAAAGAAGTGAAAATTAACTTTTAAATTAATAGTAAAGACTAAAGGTAATATAACTAAATTTAATATGGAATATCCTATTTCCAACTTAGGGGATATTGTGCATAATCAAACAAATGTCATTACTTAGTCTCATGGAATAGTTTGTATTTTATTTAACTTTATTCAAGATCAGTTTGGAGTTTTTGAATTATGAATAATCATTTTAAGTAGAGTGAACGTTTTATTTAAATTAAAAAATTTAAAATGAATTTAAATTAATTGAACTCAAAGTATGTTTAAGAAAAATAAAATAAAAGAAAATGACAAAGGTTTTTTCCTGGTAAACCGTGAAAAAACATGTATGCACTTAGTCTTTTGCACTTTGTATCCTGACCATCTTTCCAGCTCTCCTTAAGCTCTCATAGGAGGAATAGAAAGGCTGGTAACAAAAGAAAACTCAGTCAAATAATCCCAAATTGAAATGAACACTTTGCATAGACAGAGGGTACATAGAGCAGAGTCCATGATTGAACTGATCACTTTGTTCAATGGTTTTACACGACCATTTCTTCCTTTTACCTGTTTTGCATTACAAGTGAACGCTAGAGCTCTTTTTAT